TGGGTTGGTGGGTTGGTGGGTTGGTGGGTTGGTGGGTTGGTGGGTTGGTGGGTTGCTTGCTTGCTTGCTTGCTGGCTTGCTCGCTTGCTCGGTTGCTCGGTTGCTCGGTTGGTGGGTTGGTGGGTTGGTGGGTTGGTGGGTTGGTTGGTTGGTTGCTTGCTTGCTTGGTTGGTTGGTTGGTTGGTTGGTTGGTTCTCAGATCGTTTGTCAGATCGTTTGTCAGATCGTTTGTCATGGCGCGTGTCTTGTCTGTTTGTGTTCATTTCTACTTTCTTGATAATATTGATACTGTTTGTCGGATGTCTTTTGCTTGTGTGTTTTGATATTCGTTGCTTCACTCCTGTCATTGCTGCATGTGCTTACTTTTGGTTGGGCTTGGCTGGCAGGTTGTTGGTTGTTGGTTGTGGTGGCTGATATCTAGCTCCTTCTTGGTTTGTGTGCTGTTGTTTGTACCACATGTGCTTCTAGACGAAGAAAACACGTGGTCAATCTTTCTGTGTGTGCGCGTGTGGGGGACTAAAGTCTAAGCGCAACTGGCGAAGGTCGGAAGTTCGGCTCCTGCGCCTCAAACTTGTTGGCAACTGAAGATTAAGGAGGTTTGTGACGCCAAAAGTAACTTTTGCAAAGATCATTATGAATCATAGAACTGTTGCATTTCGCCTGCAGTCCTAAGGTGAACATGCCCTGGCCACTCACATACAGGCTGCTGATATTACTCCATATCCGTGGCAGCACCTGTTCGGATGGATGATCCAGGGATATCAACGGGGCAACACTGACTTGTATTCAATTCAAGGGGGGCTGCCTTGTCAACATCCTCAAAGAACCACTCTCGCACGAAGTCAATGGGAATGTCCTATTAGAGGCATGTAGGTGCACACCACTATCCAGCGTGAAAATCTGCCGCAATCCTGCATACCCCATGCAGACGACTTCCGGTAGCAGTCCATTTCATCAATCGGCAGCGCCTGTGAAGTAAAGGCTAAGAGAGTCAAGCATTCCAGTTCATGGTTTGTTATTAGGATGAACATGAACATGCAAAAGATTGCAAAAGTCTATCAAACGTTCCATCATTCTTAGGTACATTCTCCGGACACAACATCTTCGACTATGTGATATGAAAACATGAAAACACATTAAAGTACTTGCTTTTTGCAAAAAGGAGGAACTGGTGCAAGAAGAACAAGCACTGTGCCTGGTGCCACTCTTCTCGATGCACAAACAGAGCGTATGGGCCAGTGAGGTGGATGAGAAAAATGTTGTGTGGGGCTAAGACCTAAGCAGCTCAAATCCGTGCAGGTTTCTCCGCAGCTAATCTTGCGCCTGCATTGCAGCTGACAATGAACAGGCCATGAGAGCAGGTGGCGTTTCCACGCTCTGGCCTCAAAGTAACAAAACATCAATCAACTATCGTCAAAGTACGTGAGCCAAATAACACTTGCCTTCACTTGCTCAAAGCCGAGTGTACAAATTCAATGAATTTTTATGTATCCTCCCTCAACCCCTAATAAACATAATAAACCAGCGGCAATTCTGACACTCAATGCGAGAGAGAGGGGCTGTGGGGTATAAATTCAAATGGAGGTGGAACCTGCAATCAGAATCGCCCGATCTTGAAATGCTAAAGAGGTAAAAGCCAATATAGTAGTGCTTTTGCAGTGCATAGCGAAAACAAAGCCTGGCTGAAGACAAACATCGCTACGAGTCGAGGTTGGACCTTACCGCCATGACCATGCATGACCATGCCATGCTTCCTACGTATTGCAAGTTGTCTGGATCTGTGAGTCCAAGCTTTCAAGAGAAGACTGCGAAGTACTTGGCAGGATGATCCATGTGGCAAAGCATCCAAACGGAGCAAATCGATCGGACCTGAAAACCAGCAAGTTGAACATGCGGACAGAACATGAATCTCATTGATTCTTTACTGGCCTATAAAGTCCTTTGGGAGTGAGATGTCTGGCAGCGCCGATCGCAAAGATGTTTCTTCCAGTGCTTCAAGTCGGAATACCTGCAGATGCAGTGCGCAAGATCAGCAACCAAGTCCATACCAGTCAGCCACGAACCAGCCTCCTGCAAGCTTCGAGCCCGAGTGAGAGAGGCAACCTTGACAAATCAAAGAGAGTGTTTGAATTAGTATCCAGGCTTGTTGGCTCGCTCGTGTTTTATCTGATCTGAAGGCTTGTTGGCTCAATTGTGTTCAATCATCTGCTCTATCATGAAGCATGGGAAAGCTTTATATTGCTTCACAATCTTTACATGTATAACTTCCTGAATTGTACACGTTTTCAAGTCGATTGCACCTGCTGGATATAGTTTTTATATAGAGGCATTTGGAATCATTTAGAGGCCCATATTGCTTCGTGTTGTGCAGGACTGTGTGTTGAATACACGGACCCGTTGGTCCAGCGGCCTGCTCTTCCTCACAACCCAAGCACAAAGCGCGAAGCGCAGGAGTGCGTAGTCGCCTCACATTGAAATGTTGCATTGCAAACTGAGCCAAGGCGGAAGAGCGTTTGAGAGTGCTGCCAAACTGCTGCATTTCCAAAAGCAGCTCAATTGCAGGATCATCTAGCACATCTTCTCCTTTTCACAGGGTGAAACGGTCAACCAGATCAACGAGTCCACGCTTGGACAGCTCCTTCTCCGTGACGGTGGCCATACAGCCCTCCGACCGTCACTACCACACCCAAATGCGAGCCTTGGGACGATGGTATGACAGCAATTGTGTCTTGTGTTGTCCCACTTAGGTAAAGACAAGAGACTTTTCAGTTGGTTGAAGACAGCCTCACAAAAGCACAACACCTCTGAACTTTCACCGTGTTTGGCTCTTGCTTGGAGTGCCACTAAGAGTCGACAGTGGTGCGCTCCAAGTGGTTCTCATTGTTCACAGCGCAGTCTGGAAATATGTTGGCATCCAAACCATGCTTGCCGAACCTCAAATGCAAACATTGCTGCGCCAAGTTGAGAGATTCATCAACAGCTGCACACCACAAGTAAATCTACGTCAAGGAGTCAAGAATATGGCCGGAGTTTGGTGGACCCGTAGCCCAGTGACAAGGTGAGAAGGGTTAAAGTTGCTTAAGATTGCTCAGAATTCCGGTAGCCCCTCGGGAATCCAAGCCGAATCCAGACCGCCGTAAAATGGACGAGAAGCTGCTGACGCTTTGCGTCCCAAGCTTCTGGACCAATGGGCGACAGCAAAGCTTCTGGGGCGAAAGCGTCTGAAGGAAAAACAGATCGAAGCTGTGCCACTTCCTCTTCTTCCCTAGCAGTGGGGCATGCAGGAAAAAAAGCCAAGCACAAGGGTTGTTATCCAGGTAGCCACTCCACTAGCTAGACTATACCTACTTGTAGATGAAAACGTTGTGAACACGTTGAAAGTCGCACTTTGTGACGCCCAACACTCCTTCTCTGTAGAATCTCCATAAATCTCCACACCAAGGTGCAAAGCCAGCTGCTCGTGATCCTGGAAAGCTCGCAGTTTGCCTTGATGTACTTCAAGTTGGAGAAGCCTGATGAACTTGCAGGTCCGACAGGGTCCGACAGGTTCTTGGCTTACCAATTCCACATCTCATCCACATCTAGCAACAAGGGCATCATTACTAGTAACAAGGGCATTACTACATATTACTACTAGTAGCGATGCCCTTGCTTTCTAGTAGAGAACAAACATGTCAAAACAACATAGAAAGAAATGTGGGAAATCTACCCTATTCCACCCTACCATCCAAGAGAAAGGACTTCCCACCTCTGACAATGCATTCGCAGCACATACTGAGAGAAGGCCTCCCGTGATTGACGAATGATCAAACAAAAGATACAGCCTTTGAAACATGTTTGGAACCGTCCGCAATCAAGCGTGAGAAGCAATTGTGCACAATGAGCAACAGTGTCAGCAACTGTTCAGTCTCTAACGCAGTGCCTCCAAACCACCACATGGCCCTGCTGCATCGTGCGTGGCTCTTGCACTGCGCACGCCACACACGCAAAGAGAAATGCTGCTTTTCCAATTCATTCGAAAGCAACCTACATCAGCAACGTTCCTATGTCAACAGTCAAAAGAGAGAGGGAGAGAGAGAGAGAGAGAGAGAATAGGATAACGTGTGTTTGCCGCAAGCCCAACAATGTGCATCCAGGCTTTCTTACTCCATATCGCTTGACTTGCAAGAAATTACAGCTTGAGCAAGCACTGGCAATGCTGTAGAAGTATAGGAACTGATGCTGTAAAGTAGTTGAATGGAACACAATTAAAACCAAGTGCGCGCGGCCTCGCAGCTCTCCTTTTTATGCAAAAGGGATCAAAAGGGTGAGGACAAGCTCCTCAGGGTCCTTGGCACACTTCATCACCTCTTCTTCCTTCTCGACGAAGATTGGGGCGACTTCGCCACTTCGACCAAATTCTTCTTGAGGACCGTGAATCTTAAAACTTCAAGAGGCTTCTCATTTTTGAGGCTCAAGACATGGCTGCCGACTTGTCCAAATTACTACTACAGCTTCGCTACCGGTGGCTCTTGCCCTAAATCCTGGTCTCGGAGCTTGCCACGTGCCTGAAAAACATGCCAGTGCAACGAGGTCAGCACAATGATCAGCATTTGGATCTGAATGTCAGCGCCTTCAAATCCTGGTAGCGCCTCACCATCTCTGCGATTGCCTGCCATCTCATCCGATGGAACAAATGACGTTGACACTTGCAGTCACAGTCATCCCAGTCGCCTCCTTCAAGGTCATGTGGATGGTCTCTCTCTGAGTCAACATGTGCAATGGTGCCTCGTCCACATCACCTCACACTCAGAAGTCCAGAAGTAGATGAAGTCTTGAACAACTCTCCTGTTAAACTGGTTTTGGATAAACACAGAAGCATTGCGCTCATGTATGTGTTCAGACCTATCGAACAAGTTGCTGTTTGAAGGTGGGAACCATTCAGATTCGACTTTACTCGGTCCAATGATATGACACTATATTATATTACCCATGCTGTGGTCTTCAATCTGCAGTCTTGCCTTGAATGCCTGCATAAATACTCCTAATGAAACCTTACAAATACTGCACTATGATTATAGATGTGATGTTCTTTGTATCTATACACATAGCCGTCGCCAAAAGCAGCGCATGCAAAAAGGGAAAACAAATGGCAGAAACGAATCCCCAAACACTGTGGAACCAGTGCAAATAGTGCAACTTGAACACCATGGATTGGAACTTCAGGAGCTTGCGGCTTTATCCAAGCCAGCTTTGCCACCTCGCCAATTTTGCCAGGTTGATATTGACGAGTAAAGGAATTAGTGTCCACACTATTCAACAGTCTGAAGATTTCGGCACATACTCGTAATTTGCACTGGTCAATGTTTGCCACACTGCACTTGTGCAACTGAGGCGAACCTCTGGTACAATCTTGGCGGCCTCCTTTAAAAACTCCTGACCAGGAGACGAGGAAAGCTGCATGAACTTTTGCTCGGCACTCAACACGAGTCGAGATCCCGCCACTTCCGCCAATCACAACACACAAAAGCGGACACTGCGACCAGGAACTCGCACAGCATCGCCTCATAGGACACCACGTGGCCCTGTGTATTAGCAGTCATCAGATTCATTGCCGGTGAAAGCCCATGTATCATTCAGGTAGCATTGAGGTGTCAGGTGTCAGGTCTGTTTGGCATTTGCATTTGGCCTTGATGCCACAGACATGCGCTCCAGGTTGGCGAACAGCTCCTCCCAGGGTCTCCACAAAGAGCCTCGCCACATCGGCCACGTGATGAAATCCCGTGGTCCCAGACACCTTAGTGTATACGAGGAACGGAGCAGACGAGAGAGAGAAAGCAACGAACTTGTTATGTTACGAGAGCTTCGAGGAACGAGACGAAGAACACTCCAGCTTTATCTGAGTTGTACTTCTTCAACGTGTTTTTCTTCTTGTTCAAAAGGACATGTCCCACATAATGTCCACATACTGTCCGCATATGTCATGAAGCGGCGCCTCAATCTCAAAGCGGCGCCCCAAGATCGCCGCCTTCACGGCTTTCGTGGGGCCAGATGTGAGGCCAATCTCTCGCCCCACGCCGAAAATGGTCAGTGGACGGAGACCTACCTGATTGCCATCTCTTGCAAGTCCAAAACAAGACCTCTGCAACAACAAATGCATAAGGGCTGTCATCCCTATCTACGTGGTACTGGATGTCTCCGCTTGAGGAATCTTAATGCCCACAGAACTCAAAGTCAATATGTTTCCTGTCTGAAATCACTTAGAGTTGCTTTGACAATGCTTGACGGGACATTCAAGTTATGAGTTGTTTCAATCAGTTAGATAGTGTCCCAACTCGTTTGTCAATTGCAGTATAGTTAGTTAACTAATTACAATAAATGCCTGTGGTGAGATGACCAATTCAACGAGCCCCTCAAGACCACGTAGCCTCCACAAGCTCTTTTGATGTGGTTTGCATAACTTTTTCAGGATGTGCTCTGTTGCTCGTGTGCCTACTGCGTAAAATGAGGCGACCGATGGCCGCTACTATACTTATTATCACATTGGACAGTTGTTCTCAGGGTGATGACCTCTACCACTACTTGGGGTGGTTTTGCTTTAAAGGCCATTCCTTCACTGGAGTGATCCTGCTGTTGCTTTGGGCAAGTCCATAGTATGTGCATAAGTCATATTGTTTTGCTCTCAAAATAATTAGAATTCAATCTCCCGTGGTGATAACAGCTCTGTTGCATATTTTCGTCAACTCTCATCCTTGTCCAAATCACTACCCTTCTTGTCAGGAGTCCTCAATTTATCTGAAGTGACTATTTCGCTGTTTTCTCCAGACAGAGTGCTCAGAGTTCTGAGTTGCTACGCTTTGAACGGTTTGGAGCGGCAAGAAGATTCAGCCAAGTCTCTGAGGGAATTTTATGATCTTGCCAATATATTCTAGCCATGCCCTCGTTGCACAGCTTGAAAACACCGTACAGCGTGCGAGGCCTCTTCTGGGCCCGGGACATTCCAAGGAACTCGCAATCAAAGGTGCAATGTGGTGCGATCAATATGCTTGAGAGATGCATCACAGCATTTAGCAGGTTTGTTAGGCAATTCCAATCATTGTGCAGTCACAGTCGAATGGATCACAGTAGGCGGGACCTCCAACAATTTATTTTGCAGTGGGGATGGGTTGTCCATCACCTCGCCTGTGGTAGTCTCTTTCAGCAGGAAGAGGTGCGCCTGAAGCATAATCGGAAGAAGGCCCAAGAACAGCACCAGAGGAAGCGTAGGCGACTGGGACAACTTTTCCAGCCCCCCTGAGTTGTCTCGAGAACAAGCAACGAAATAACATGAACTGGATGATTCAGAACTGTGGATTTGCATATATATATATATGTATAGATATATATGTGTAAGATTGTGTAAGTATATACTGTATAGAAAATATATGCTATAGTAAGGTACACACCCGACAAAAGTCCCCAACAGCTGGGCATGAATTTGCAAGCGGTGGCAACATGACATTTGTCAATAAACTTGCGACGGCTGCAAATTCATTAGCAAGTGGCGCGAACGTTTTCAATGCGCCATGCGAGCGAACTGGTCAATGAACTAACACGGCAACACATCTGCATAGCACATGACTACACCACAACAAGAAAGAATGGAACCTTTTCCGCAACCGTCATGCTGACCCGACTTCCACATCTCAGCTTGACAACGCGTTAGCATGTTAATTAAGTGTGACCCATTCCAGCATGACAATATGTCAGCATGACAGCCTGACTGCTTGTCACCATGACACCATGCCAGCAGCACAGCAGCGTAACAATATGATTCACGCCAGCGCGCCTACATGAGTGTGAGACAGCAGTCTATACACACAGCGCACCAACATGACATCCGCGTCAGCTTATTGGCGAAGCAACACACCTTAGCGCTCCAGAAGTGTAACATGTTGGCAGGTTAACACGGCGTGTCAACATGTCAGCATGACAACGTCCCAGCGCTGCGCCGTGACAACATTGTAGAAGCAGCTTCTCATCATATCTGCAAAGCGCTCTGGACCTTGCAGGAAGCTGCTCCCACACTCTGGTACCTTCTCCGAACCTGTTTCGCAACCTCTTGCAACCTCCGGAACCTGCTCAGAAACTTGCGCCCGCTGCTCCTGAGCTTGGTCTGGAAAATCTGCTCCGGAACTTGCTCGGGAACCTGCTCCGAGACGGGGCTGAAGCGACGACAAAAAACAACGCACGAAGCTTCTGAATCGACGGGAGTCTTGTTTTCGTGGTTTGGTTCAAAAACCGGACCCCCGCCGGTTTTCAGCCAATTCCCAGGCTCAAGCCTCAGCAGCGGGTCACCGAAGTTCGCGCGCATGGAGACAAGCGTACTGCGACGCGCGTGGCGCGCGAGGCAAACCGAGTCACGAAAAACCTGCTCCATGATGTCTTCCGTGGCCGTCTGGCGCGCCAACGCGGCTTCAGCCTCCACACGGTACCCTGCTCCTGTTGGTCGCGAGTGACCTGGTTCAAGACATCTCGAAAAAGCGGCAAACGCACAAGAACTTGTGCGCTTTCTTCCCTTCGCAGGTTCCGAACATGTTGCCATTCCTTTGGCCCTTATATAGGTCTGCTTCTTGGCCCAAACTTAGCCAGCTCTGGGTTCATCCCCTCAATGTCCTGCGCAGCCTTCTCACACAAGCTCTGCACGCTTGCCTTCAACTTGCAAGCCCAACACACCTTTCTGAGAAAGGGCTTCAAGGTCATGAGGCTCACATGGCCCCTCATCCTGAACCTCCATCGCCTCGGTCTCGACCTTGCGACTCGTTTTCTTGGAAGCAAGTCGACTTTTTAATCGCAACCTTTTTCCGAAGCTGCTTCTGCGGCTTCTGCGCAATCGCACCGACATCCTCGTCCTGAGGCAACAGAAGAATGACACGCTGCGCACACATTGACATGCGCAGGCACGTGAAGCACAAGAAGTGGCTATACGCTTCAATGCACTTCATCAATCCGTCCTTTGCAGTTTTGAGCTCCACATCTGAAGGGCCCTCGGCCAAGTTCTCAGCGATTGGATGATTGGAACGCTGGCATTCATGAGGTACCACACTATAATCGAGGAGGGGCATCGGTATAGTGTTGACAAGGTTACGACTTGCGATCAAACCTTGAAAAAAGTGGACGGACCTTGCTTCGCTTCTCAAGTACATGTATAGCAAAAGGTTTGTACACAACACGCCCAAAACCCCTTCTTACGGTCGTCTCTTTTGCAGCGTCTTCACTCAACTTCTCACTCAACGCGGCCTCTTCCTCTTCGCAGGTCGCGCTCTTCTTCCACGTGAGATTCAATGTTCCTGCGTCAGACTGAAGGAGAGGACACCGCTACATTTTCAGAACTTGCAAGATGCGCTTGACAACCGAAAGATGTGTCCGCAAGCTGCCGCCGACAACAAAGCCCGCTGGAGCTTGCGCGTGGGAGGACTTATCCTTAGATGAACTGGAAACCCTGGGCCCAAATAAGCATCAAACCCAAAAAAAGTGGCGACATACGCGCTGATCCAGCTTGCTCAGCAGTCACTCGTACCTTGCGAAGGTATTGGTGCGTCGCTGCGTCGCACCCCAAGGCCCGCTGGCTCGACTGATCACTGTCGACATGCAAGATGGAAGGCCATAGATGTGAGAGACCGCATGGACCATGGAAGTCAATGATGAGAGGCATCAAAGCATTGATGAGCCCGCAACTCAGCTTCTTGTGGTTCCTCCGAATGTTCGTGAGGAGGTGCGCCACCACTAATCCGATTTGGACTTGGAGCTGAAGTGTTGCGCAGATAGATAGGTAGATAGATAGATGGATGGATAGGTAGGTAGTTAGGTTGATTATGAATTTGAACATGGCTCTCAAGCTACCCTCGGTGGTCTTCAGGTGATCAAGAAAGAACGGAACGCACGCAATCCACCGGAAAGACTCTGCGCTGGCTTCTACGACATGAAATGTCAGGCTGTCGCCCCTCAAGTCGGCCAAGCCAGCTTCAAAACTCTCCACTGACTCCGCAAAAACAGCACGCGTTGACTTGCCCCGCGTCTGTCGCCTGTGCTTCAGAACGGCACGGATAGCTGGCGCACCAATCGCCCACCTCCATGGCCACAGCACTGGGAGTCGGTTTGCAACCGCTTTCCAAGAGAGCGTCAGCACAGTCAAGCACTCTTTTAAGCTCAGCAACAGTCACACGACCAGCGCCTCCCTTGCGATTGCGTGCCTCCCTCTCCTCCCCAGCACAGCACTTCACACGCACAGCTTTCAAAGGTTCATTGACCGATCCATCAACATGGAACTGCTTTCCACCACCCCTCACGCAGCCTGTGCGCCGATTGAAACGGGCATACAGCCGAGCTGAAGCAACGCCGGTTGCCTGTGGGGTTGACAAGTCGGCCGTGAGCAGCTTCAGGCCACGCGCTCCTTTCCGCAGCCAGTCTCTGACTGATGCAAGCTCATCTTTCTCGATGCTCAAGTCTCTGAAGCTGAAGGTCTGCTCTACATGGAACTGCCATTGCCTCTGTGCGCGCGGCATGTCATCGGTCAGAGCCAAAATCTCAGAACCAAGCTTGCGTGGCACCGGCATTAGTACTATTAGTACTACTCCTATGGGGACGTGGCCTCCCCTTTTTGTTGGGGTCCTGTTTTTGGTGCTTTGGACCTCGAAGCCTTCAAAAACAGAACCCCCGCCTTCCCATCGCTTTCTGAGGCGCAGGCAAGCACACTGGACAAAGACGAAGAGAAGGCTTCGGTGGCAGAGGGTACCTCAAGTGCGCAGTACAACAGTGAGACAGCAGGATGAGAAGCAAGGAGGGTATGGTCAATCTGCATCAATAGCAAGGACCGCTCAACTAAGGACCACTCATCTAGTCAATCCAACAATTGAAGATCTCAAAAAAAGGAGGAGCCGAGCCCCCCACGCTCAGGCGAGGAGTAGCCTCTAGAAGGTCTTCTCTGAGGTGTCTGGAAGCCAGACATCTTTGAGCCAAGCACTTGAAAAGGCTCAAATGAGAAGGACTGAGAAGGTGAGGAGTTTGTCGTGGTTGCACCCTTTTGAAATATTTCTGAAGGACCCTGTCTCCTGCTCCGGAACCTGCTCTGGAACTTGCTCCGGAACCTCCTCCTGAACTTGCTCCGGAAGCTGCTTCGGAACCTGGTTCTGAACCAACCTGCTCCGAGGTCTTTATTATGGCTCAAGGCCCGTAAGCCGTAAGCTTCGCTGTTGGGGAATAAATAGCATAAAAGTTATATACATATATACTCTTATATACTCCTCTGTTACCCAAGTGAATCTTTTCAAGCCCTCCAAGTCTGCTTCACTGCCGCCCAAGACACTTCCTGTTCTGCTAAAGCCTTGACTGCCTCAAAAACATTGATGGTGCCCAACAGATTCACTGCAACACCAAGTGGAGCATTGCTGCCTCAAGACGATGTTCAAACAACATGTGCAGAACACTGAACAAGGGACACACAGCCCCACATTTAATTCCATGACCTTCACAACATTCACATGATGTGACACCTCCGACCTTCAAGCTAACTATGGGCTTATTGTGGCTTGTGGCATCTTAGTCTTCAATGATCAGAAAATATTCGGATGCATGGCATCTCAAGGAAAGAACTTGCACTCCCCTTGTCTCAGTGAAAGCCACGCACCGTTGGAATTTGCACTCCGGCCAAATGGATCACAGCAGTTGGCTTGAAGTTCAGGATCGCGTCCTTGGCACTTTTCAGTTTCACTTTGGACGTTGTCTAGAACCAAATGCCGTGCCCCCAACCAGCAATTGGGTTAGTGGTTGATTCGTCCTTCTCCCAAAGCTGGGGTGGAATGGACATAAAATAACATAAATAGCCGCATCTTAATTCACCGGCACATACACTACTCCTCAGTGATGGAAATGTAGATGTCGGCGTTTGATTCATTCATTGTCCACGTCAATTGCCATCAAGCTACCTTCACCTGGCGGTGCTGGCTCGAATGGTAGCAAAGCTTCTTCACCCAAGACCCTGCGCATCCCTGCGCCTTGGCCGTATCCGACACATCCACCAACTTTGTTGTGAAACGTCCAAGCTCCTCATCCGACAGCACCTGGCATGTGCCCAATCACTTCTTTGGCAACGAGTGCACAACAAAACCTGCAGCCCTACCTGAGCCAAAATGTCGGGAGCTTCTTTGAGATCCAAAGATTCAACTACTGAACCCTTTCCAAGCAGCTCTTTGATCACCTCAAGGCGGTAGCTACAGTAGCCGTAGCCATGTCGAAAAAATGAATATGGCAAGAAAACAACATGCTGCAAAGTTGCATAGGCCCCCAAAAACCTGAGGAGCCAAAAAGCACAGCAAAATATCAAACATTCTCACCACTTTGAAGCCAGTGTCATCCGAGCAGCCCTTGCCCGCCAGTGACCGTTACGCGCTGCAGTACCATGATGGACACTGGGCCGGGTGACAGGCTATCTCGGACTGAGCCGTGAACAGCGGACACTTATATAGTACGTAGAGTGGCCCCCCAAACCCATATCTCTGTCTCGTTAGTCTCTAACAGTCTCTAACAGTGAAAATGAAGAAGACTGTTCCTGCAGCTTTGTATCCTTGCGGGTCACCCACTTGGCAAGCCTCTCACCGCATGGCCAACTGCCAAGGTTGCTCAGTGAGTGTAACAACTGCTTGCTGAACCTTCAACATCATTACTCATGTCCTATGTTGTGCCTGTCGTTATGTTTCTAGTGTCTTTGATGTCATATGTCCTCTTTGCCTCTCTCATGTCCCTTGGAATCGCAGGACTTCTGAAGCGATTTACTCGTCAAAATGCATGGAGTTTCTACTGAGCACATTGCGACCACTTTTTGACCCCAAGACAAGTCCAACACGCCAAAGTCAACAACTTCCTCTCAGCCATAGATCGTAAAGGGCTTTCCCATGGTGCTCTTGATGTGCAATCGCTTGACCTTTGCACAGGCCAACCATTGTACAATGGGATAAAGGTGGGCAAACAAAGCTTGGATGGCTCTTAGTCTTAGTTTAGGTGTCCCACATTGTTCCAGTTCTTCTTGAGCAAGGACACCAGGAAGTTAATGGCCATCAGGCAGTTCTGCCTGATCTCGAGGCGACCGCACCGGGCACTCAAGGCGAGTGCATCCTTGTTGACATGTCTGTAGGTTAGGAATGAGGACAAAGGTGCATTATTCTTTTCTCTCCGTCAAGAAACCAAGATCAAACCAGTTGGTGACCGGGGCCACAGCCTCAGCTCATCCGGTGTCATTTGAACGTTGCCCACTGCAACGCCCATACAAAGCACCTTCTTCAACTGGAACTTCACCTGGAACTAGATCAGTCAGGCTCATGACAACGCTCCACATAGTTCATGTGGTGACCCATTCAACACAGGCAGCCATGATAAATATCCTATTCATATGTTGCAAGATGTAAAGACGTTTAAACATCAAGATGTAAAGACCTCTTCGCAGCTTCGCCTGGCTTCTCACCTCAGTGACTTTGGTCTCCAGGTTGTCGGAGTGCTGCACCAGCGTGGGGAACTTTCCGGCCTGGATAAAAAAATCTGCGAATCCGATAGGTACGAGTAGGCTTATTGTCAAACCAAAAAGAGCAAGATGAATAAGCCAACGTATATTAAAGTATATTACAACAAAAGAGAAGCGTATGCAAATGCATGCAAATTATGCACTTGAACTTTAGACCTTGTTCAAACCAGGGCCAAGCAATCGAGGGATCTGCGGGATCAGCACCTCTCAGGGCCGGTCCTGTCTCCCTCTCTCAAGTTGCTCGTGACAGCTTTGCGTTTAATATCTCAAGAAACATGCAGCAGGATCCTGGCCTTACTACTAGGAACAAGAAGCTACTAGGGGCTCCTGGCATCGCTACTAGGAGCAAGGACGCTACGAACGGAGCATCGGCAGCAGGATCCTATTGGGTGACAAACATCTACTTTAGGGGTCACACACACATCTACAACCTTGTCAAATCCCTTGAACTGACTAAAGTCGCCAAACGCCTGGGATGCCAGGAAAGCGTCAAAGCTATCAGCCAACCTGCGAAGGGGGGTCATCATGATTCAATCACATTAACCTGTTCATTTCAAACAAAAGAACACAACCTTCAACATCCTTCGACGACCACACCCTTTGCTGACATATTACTGTACCTGGTGTCCCGGATTTATTGGGACTGGATTGTAAAACATACCATGACGACCAATAACGAATATATTTACATTTATAGATATATACTTATATAATGGGAATGGACAAACAAGGGAGTTTGAAAGGAAACTTCGGTGCCTACAGCAAATCCTGCAACTTATGTGGACCATGGCCACGGAGCAACCGACTGCTTCTTTCCCAACGAGAGCGGAGCCAAGAAGCTTTTTCACCATCTTCTTGTTCTTGTTCAATTTCTTCAAGTCCTGCCATAGCTCACATGTACAGAACGCCAGAATTTCCACAAGACGCTGCAAACCTCGACGCTCTTGAAAGGGATGTTGGCCTGAGCGAGTGGTCTTGGCCACGGTTGCTTTAACCTTTCCATAATCCCCCGTACTAGTATCAAGTTGGAGTTCGGAAAAGTAGTGTGTGGACTATGGTAAGTGACTAAGTGTGAACAAACGAGGACAAACCTCAATGAACCACTACAGCATAGACTATAGAATCAAAATGACCGTACACGAGCACCAAGAAACAGAAAGATCCTAAATGATCGTTTCTTTGGAAGTGTCATAAGCTTCGAGCAGCAACAGCCGAGGTCAGGACGCGCTGGGCTTGCTCGCAGTGCACGGCATCCCCAAGGACACAAACCTTCAGATTCAGTTTGCTCAACAGAATCAGCCAACCAATGTCCATGGGTCATCTAGCAAGTCTACCATGAAATGCAGGACAACTTAAAGAAACTCAAACCAATAGCCTTTCACAATTTAAATGTTCACAAGTGTCCTGAACATTCCTCAGCGAAAGGATGAAAGGGTTCAAATGAATGGCACGTGCATGGCGCACCTTCAAGCGTGGACGAGGCACGTGGGGCAACTTGATGGTTCCTCTGCACGGTGATCTTGAAAGGTCAACAGACAGCCGACCAAAAAAATGAGGGTCCATGGAGGTCCCACTGAAAAAGAACTTACACATCCTCCAACATAGTAGCGATGGCCTCCAACCTAATTACTAGCGATGGC